CTCCCCACGTTCAGTGTCTGTGCAGTACAGGTTGATGATATCTTTGACCTTTGTTGTTTTCAAATAACTTTGGTTCATAGTAGCTCTTCCCTCCTACCCTCTGATTAATCTGGCTTTCTAAGCTTTCTTTTAACATTGAGACAAAAGGTTTCAAATGGTCTTTTTCAAAAGTTATATGTCTAGGAAAGACCATTAGCATTCTTTTATTTTTGGGGAGCAGTCCTTAGCTGCTTTCTTCTCTGCCATTAAGGTTAAATTAAGCCTATACTGGCCACATCTTGAATAGTCACCCCCTAGGTGACAGAAGATGCATCCTCCAGTTGGCACAAGACACTTTTACGGCAAGCTTTTTCCGCAGTGTAGTCAATGTTACTGATGCTTTTGAATTGCCAATGAGTATCTGTCTATTTCTTTTCTCTCTCTGAAGGAGTGATCTTTTGACTTTAGAAGATAGCTCAGTCTAACTCAGACCAAGATGCACTCAAGAGTATTTTCTTCAGTAGCAGAGCTGTTTAAAGATGATCCCAGCCCTCTTGGCCCCTCCTGCTGTAATTTTCTGCCTCCTCAGTTAGACTTGTGCAGCTATTTTGAGGTTCATATGAGATCATAGACATGAAAGTGAAGGGAAAAGTGACAACGGTATTTTAGATTGAATCTGTTTCATTTTCCAGATCAGAGAATAACTCCACAAGTGATTACAGAAGCACAACTGTTTGTTGATAAACTGTGTTATGGGGTACAAAACAGCTGGAGGTGGTGGTGACAAGTGGTAATTTAATGAACTGTCTTTGTTCATGAAATTGCAATCCATCACAAAAAGCTGTATTTCGGGGCATTACCCACTACACTGCCTCATGGCTTTGTCAGCACAAATCTCCAGTCACAAGGAAGCCATGTCCAACTCCTTCTTTACATGCAAAGGTGTTCAGAGGCATGTCAGTATCAGTAGGCTGTTGGTACTGTAGGCATAAAATTGGAAGACTAAGTTACTGTCCATTTCCCTGTCTTGCGTGTGTCACGCTGTTAGCTCTAGTTACAGTTTAGTGTGAAGGCAAATGTTTATAGACAGTTTCTTCCTCTTGTTTGGAGAACATATGGATGGAAATGAACCGTTGATTTACAAATTTTACACAGACATAAATATAATAACTTAAAGCATGATGTTTCATTTGAAGTGGGTCATTATAGAGTGATTTTCTGGTATTGATGTTCAAGTAGTACCTGTGAATGGTATGCACTGAATCAAGTATGTTTCAATGTAATCTCTTCATTATTGCGGGTGGACTTCAGGGTTTTGGCTAGAGATACCTAGCTCTCTCTTTATTAAGAGGGCTTTTACAGCATTTAAGTGGTACCTGACAACAGTATTGTGGAGTGTAGGTAACAGCTAGTATGTTTTGAGGCACCAAACTTTCAGACAAATAATTCTTAAGCCTTTGGGACTTTGTAACAATACTGTTCATGAACTTCTTATGGTCAGCTACACAAATTAAATTAGCAGCACCTTTGACCAGGATAAATCCTATATGTCACTGAGAAACAATTTACACATACTAACTAGAAGATTAAAATTAGGATCCTTTTACATTGGTAAGATGGTGAAAAAGAAATGGAGATATACTGTGTTGTAAACCCTCTGTCAAATGTCTTATTTAGTCGTCATCACAGCTGTTGACAATGATGTGTGCATGCTCGCAAAGTGAAACCAGTCATTTCTCATTGACCTTTTCTGTCAGGAATGGCATCAGGAATAGATTGTGTGAGTGTGTTTGAACACAATGCTTTATGAAGAAGCTGATATTGCAAAATAATTGAGAAGTTAAGAAAATGTTCCAGTTTGGCAGCTTTAGAGATAATTATAAATTTGTTTGTATTCAGTATTCTTACATCCTTGTCTTCCACCTAGCCTGATAAATTATGCATGGCTATTAAGAAAGTAAAATTTTAAAAAATCTCTCAGTGTGCACATAGATTGTGTCTAGGCAGTTTTATTTTGCTGAATTTGAAAACGTGGACATTTTAACTTAAAATTCAGCTTTATTTTATGCTTCTATTTTATTTAAGGTAATAAAAAGAAAGGAAAAGATATTTCAGTGGAAAAATAAACTCTTTCTTAAAAACATTAAAATGTTAATTATCTAGAGGACATAAACATTAAAATTAAAAGCAAGAAACAGGGGTTTATAATTTAAACTATTGCCATAGATCCCAGGTATATATTTATTCATACTGAACTCCAACCATTTCATATACTTGCTTGTTTCTATGTAAGAAATAAAGCACCTACCACATTGTGGTCAGTGTAGGAAACTACATTTCTAACAGCTGTAATGAAGAAACAAAATATTTGTCATACTTTTAGGACAAGTAACCTAAAATTTACAAAGTTACGGTTTTTGAAATATTCTGCCGTTTAAAGAAATATTTGCTGTGGATGGGACAGCAGATGGGGTCCCTTATGGGGTAGGACAACACTTTTCATTCTGTATCAATAAAGTGCTTCCTATTATTCAGATAATTTAAAATATGTATAATTTAAGTAAAACAGTGGTTTTGAATCTCTTTAATTTTCTTCCCGTTCAAATATAATGCCAAGGAGACATAGTTGACAGCAGATTTGCTTTCTCAAAATGTTATTCAAGCTATGGGGACATTTTTGGTAGGTGGCAAAGGCAATTTGCTTTTGCAGTTAATTATACTTGTAATTTTGTGTTAGCAATACATTTCAGGAATAAATCTTTTATTGTGGAGTTACTTTCATAGAAACCAATGTGCTTTTCCAAGTGCTTGTTTGACTCACCTTTTCTTGTGTTATCATACCTGCTTATCCTATTTTTTTATTCTGTCTATATACACCATTTGAATTGTAGATAGCTTGTAGCACTTCTGACTCAATTTTATGCCCACAGTGCACTGTATGTATGAATTATAAGTGCTGTGTTCAAATGTTTGATTTTTTTTATAAATGAGATTCTGCAAGTCAATTAATTATAGTATGTGGTAACTTCTATAATTCTTTAATTTCATAGGTTTAAAAAAAATTCCAAACATGCAAGTAAATATTTTCTCCTTGTCTCTTTTACCTTTTCAGAATTTATAGAAAATTTCAGTACCTTTTAAATCCTCGTCAAGTTTATAGTCTTTCTGGAAATGGACCAATGCCAGGGTAAGTCTGTAGTTAATATTATTACCAGGAACTCATTTAATAAAATGCTACATAATCAAATGGACAGACTGAAGCACATATAGCGTATTTTGTATGTATCAACACTACAGACCTCTGAATGGCTGCAGAAATTTACAGGTATTATTTGTTTACATGTACAAATAAAACTGCATATCATATGTTTTACTGGTAACCATGAAGTACTCCATAAGAACTGCGGGATAAATTTCATTCTGTTTGTAGCTTTTACTGATACATCAACAACCCACATTCATGTGGGGGTTAATTTTATGTTACAAATATCAAGCAGCCTCAAAGACTGACCTACAGGGCATACATTTCTTTGACATAAACACATATGTGCATGCATGGATGTGTCTGTGTAATACATATATAGTGTACATATGTATATATTCTTATGCATGTCAGATATAGAATGTTGTTTCAAATTACAGTGGCTGCTCACTCCTTGTCAGTTCCATAATCTTGGGAATGTAGTGGGCACAAAATGACTGGACAGACTAGGTTATGCTGGCAGTGACTTTTTACAGGGACTGAAGTGTTGTCTGAACCAGGTAGTGTTGCAGTCTCTCACCGAGCATGCTTCTTAAAGGCTTCCTTCTGTTTTTCATTCATGTGAAGACAGTAGAATAGCAGTATATCTAATACCAACTTTTGCCACCTGAAATTGTCTCCTTTTTAAGTTGTGAGCGCTTTGGTAGAAGAAAACAGACAGACCAGCACTAAACATCTGATCTGTGCATCTGCGTGAATGTACTGGATGTTATTGAGTTATGTCAGTGATTTTACATCAGTGAGGAGAGTTGCAGAAGGATATTAGAAGTTACATGTTTGCTGACATGAAGCTTACACTGTTGTTTTGAATACTTTTTTTTTTATAATCTTGGGAGTTTTTATTTGTTTGGACTTTTTTTCTTATAAGTTGGAGGAAAATAAGATGAAGGTGGAAACGTATGGGGTTTGTGCCTTGATTTCAGTTGTCACAGATATGTTACTGGAAAGGGTATGCTCTGACAGCTTCTGCCAGTACTTCTGGCTTTAAGGCCAAACGTACAGGAAGCTATTCTCACTTAAACCAGTTCTACATCAGCTGTGCATTCATTTATTGTGTTAAACTTGGGATGTGTATAACATGGATGAAAGTGAAACACAGATTGGGCCCACTCCTTTCTGAAGGTAAGATTCTTAGGACATCTTGCACTAAAGTGTGGCTCATGTGCAACCTGCAGAATGGTGCAAAACCTGCTCAAAAAAAGGAAATAATGGTATGCACTATTTCTTTCATGCCTTTAATTTTATCCTGTACCTGAATGCTGGTGCATATCTTGACACATATGACAAATTTAAGTAATCTTAGTCCAAAAAGTAAGTAGACTAGAAAAATTGCAGAAACTTATTTCAGGAATTTATAAGAAATTTTAACTGACACAAAACTAGTAACTAATATTGTTTTGTATATAAAAGCCATACTAGAGATTGAGATAACTTTTAAAGCAACTGAAATATTTTTGTTCAAATTCATCTTATTTCATTGAACCTTTAAAAAAAAAAATCAAACCCTCTTTACTGACTGCATTTCTGTCCATTGCTAACTTTTGGATTTCATGTAACTTGTGATGTAAAGGAAAATGTATTTTAATTAAGAAGCACAAGAGGGCAGTGTTAAGTTCAAACTGAAACTGCACTGGAGCGATTTAAACTTTAGTCTTTGAACCAGGACAGTGTTTTTTAGAAAATATTATCAATTTCTCTTCCTATTAAGAATTGAGATAGTTTTACTTCAGAGTCACTTTGAAGAAATTTCTAATTAATTTTCAAACAGACACTGAATTTTATTAAGCTTGTTTTGGTATATTTTTTATTCATTCCACAGAAATAAATAATCCTAAATTCACAGTTTATCTCCTGCCATCACTTCTTGCCCCTGGCAATACTATGTAGGCAGCATATAATCTGTCTCTTAAACAAGTAGTTGAATAAACTCTGTATTTCACTTACCAGTCTATGTTTCCCTTTCTGTGAGGGTGGGATTACCTAATAAAACCTGCCCATCCATCCGTCCACTTGTTCATCCATCTCTATAATGCCAGTTTTACTGGATTGTCAATCAAAATACTACCTTCATTTAATATTGTTGTATGTGTCATTTAGATGGAAATCAAACAGAGTGGGGGATTGTACAGCACAGAGAAAAATAAAAGTGCATTCTTCATGACAATTACTGTTACTTAGCGGAAAGGGATAAACATAATGTATATTTATTTTAAAGCATTTATGATTATTGTAATACATTATAGTTGAGACCATTTTGAGATTTTCTTTTGTCTTTTGAATATTAATTTTAGATATGTTTACTCAACCTATAGAATGTTTATAGTTTTAGGGTAGAATTTGCATGTCTTTTGTAGAATCAAGCTGCCTGGTTTAACTCACCAGTACGTGTTTTTTATTTATGATGGTATTTTTCTCTTGGGCTGCTGTCATCAACCAGGAAGACAACATTCACAAGTTTTCTGACTTGAGTTCCAAACATCTGTGGCTAACATGAATACATATTTCCAGTTCATTTCTGTCAAAAATCTAAGTATCTCCTGTTTAGATAATGGGGAGAAAGACAAGAGAACAAGGAGACCAATAAAATCCTAAATCTTAGTGGGACTGTGAAACTGCTTGTTTTTTTCTTAAAGTCGACAGCTCAATCACTCGGTCTTTCATTTTTCCTGTTCAGTGGGATAACCATGTTCTTTCACACGGAAATGTGTTGGAATAAAGGGCTCGTTAGCAGACCTGAGCTGGAACAGAGTTAAAATCATATTTTTTCGGAAGATGAAGGGCCACTAGCAGAGTCCCGTGTTTGAATTTCTTTGAAATCTGAAAATTATATATTTCATTTTCCCTTTCAATCCTCTCCCTTGAAAAAAACCCAACCAAACAAACAAAAAACCAAGCCAACCAAACAAAAGAAAACCAACAATAAAGCCCCAGAAAAAAACCAAACCAAACCCCACCTTTTGTAATACCAGTTATTGTGCATTTTTTTAATAAATATTCTGCCATGTAGCAGGTCAACAGAAAAATATTTTGAACAAGTTGACAATGGATTTTAGTATTGCTATCTGAATGTACAATTACTCAAGTGGATGTGTGACCTACTTTCATAATAGATGGGGCGGTACTCAGAGGACTTCAGGGACAGCAACAAAGGTGTTTCTTGTAGCTTTTTAGCATGCCTAAACTAAGGTTTTGGGAACTTTTTATGTCAAGACTTGTGTAAATCTCTATTAAAAAAATATGTACCTGATGCAAATAAATCACACATCAGCCGACTCTCCGCCATTGATTCCTTTCCAACAACAGAAACTGACCTGCTGTGAGGTCTGAAAATCAAGGAGCTCTCAGCCAAAGAGCAACAGTACACTTTAAACGCTGGTATAATAATTAACGGTTTAGACACTCTTTATCTGGGAGTAGAGAGATATGGGTGAGCTGGAGAAACCCTGTAAGCTCTGCAGCTGAACACAGGTGTAAAAGGTAGACTGCAGTTACAGACTGCCACAGTTAACAAAGTGACGTGAAAATTGCCAGGCTGATACATTGTGTAATTTGTGCCGAGCACCTGTGTTTTTAGCCTTGAAAAGAGTTTCCCTGTTTGGTTGTTATATCTCTATAGGAGTCTTCTACTTCTGACAACAACTGTTATTGTGGATTTAATGATCTTGAAGAATCTGAAATTCAGTTATTGTTCACCTCACAGAGAGGTAAATAATAGCTGGATGAATAGCAGTCCAGCCACAGACGCACATGACTCTGTAGAGAGGTCACCACTTCACAAAGGCTTTGTCCCTCTGAAAAGGCTCCTGTGCCCTTAAGTCTATTATTTAAAATGTCTAATTTATGTTATTTTTATACTCTATTATAGAAATTATATCCACAAAAGTTGTATTTCTTTGTAACTCCCTTAAGCATTTAATTTGGAGATATATTTTTTTTTTAATTCTACCCACAAGTTTGCCTCAACAGGCCTTTTTAAATCTTAAATTCTGTCCACTTAAAAGATGCCCGAGAAAGGCAAACTGAATCCCTGCAACTTACTCTGTAATTTTGTTGGGAATCTACAGCACCTGGGCCTTTATAACTTCACAAAGCAATAGGCCTATTTTGAAAATTACACTATTTTCCCAGATTATTGGAATTGATTGCTAGAGCATTTCTTTGCTGTTGGACATTTGGAATATACAGAGTGTTCTGGGGAGACATATACACCAAGAATATTTTTAGAAGATAATAACTGCATAGTTATTTTCTCCTGAACAAAACCTTGAACCTGCTCCATATTACTTTGGAAGAACTAAATTTTTGACAAAGAATGGCAAAGCTGTACTGGGTTACTTGTAGCCTAATGATTAAAGTTACAGTTGTGCACCATAAATCAGTAGTACATAGAACTCAGTAAGTCTTGACATGTGAAACTTAAACCTTGGCTTTAGAGATATAATTTAAACAGCTGTTTATCAGTATTTGTACTTGTATGACATCTGTGGTGTTCGTTGCATACATAGCACAATCATTAAATATGTAAGTATCACCAATTTCCACTCTCAGTCTAGACTTCCAAAGTTGTGAGCCAGATTCCTTCATCTCTCTCTTAACCACTGTAATTGTTCAGTAGTGAGTTTGCCACACCCTTACAGCCTTTGAGACACATCCTTTAGCCTATTTATCAGTTTCCTGTTCTGTCCTGGCGTTCTTGAACTGGCTCTCTTTTCTTGATCACTCCAAAATAAGCTTTTGACTATCACAGTTAAGTTACTTCTGAACATATGACATCCAGCATCTTTCTTCCACCCACTGTATTGATTCTTTTTTTCCTACAGATGGTTCTGTATTTCTCACAATTCTGCAAGGCTGCTATCCACCTTGTGGGTATTATGCAGATTAAAAAATATATATATATTCTTTCAGGAACCATAGGTTTGACA